CTCCAGCTGGGCCTCAGACCCAGGCACCCCCCTCCAGCGACCGGCATAGGCCACCTCCAAGCTCCTCTCTGAGAAAGAGACAGAGACCTCGGCAAACCCCCTCACGCGCCGGAGATGCAGGACCACCTCCTCCGACGGCTCCGAGACGCAGACCTCCTCCCCATGGTCAAGGGCCCGTGAACGGGGGGCCCCCGACACGCTCAACAGCCCCCGAAAGCGGGCGCGTTCCCGAACGCGACCAACGACCGCGACCTCCTCGAGGGGGCATCGTAGGCAGCCAACCCCGAAGCCCCAGGCAGACGCGCCACAATCAAAGACCCAACCCCGCCAGGGACGTCGCATATCAGATCGAGCAAGGGAAAGAAGGGCACGAATCCAGCGGACTTCACGGGCAACCGAGGGCCACAAGGGTTGTCGCCGAAGATAGCTGTCCTGCATGAACACACGCACGCACGCACACACACACACACACACAAGCACACACACACACACACACGCACGCACGCACACACACACACACACACACACACACACACACACACATATTCTCCATCACACGCCACAGCTCGGGGGCCAACGAGAAGAAGAGGGCGACGCGACCCACGAACCTCTCCAACTCCTGCCCAGCAACGCCCCCACCGCTCTCCAGAAGATGATCACACGCGAGCTTCACCTTCCAGAGGCGATTGGTATTTGGACGCCACTGCCCCGTCGACCCCACGAGCGCGAAGCCGATAAAGTCGCGTCTCCCAAGGCTCGCGGCCTCCAACGACGAGACGACCCCCCTCTCCTCCAGTTTCTCCTTCGCCCCCGCGACGGCGCCCTCCGCGACGACGGGGCCCGCGCGCAGACACGCGAAGCTATATGTGCATAATCCGCGCAGCGACCCGACGTCGCCAAGGGGCGGGAGAGGTGCCTTGTCTAAAATCCACGGGGCCCCGGGATTCACGTCTCTAAGTTGATGGGCATTCGCCGCCTGCGCGAGAGCCGCGGCCCAGGTCCACCCCATTGGCACCGCGCGGGCACGGAGGCGAGCCCACCCGCGATTTCGAGCAGCCCCCGGCAAAGCAGCAACGAGGCGAGCGGGAAGGTGGACCGCGGGGATCAAAGGCAGGCCGAGGAAAAAAAAAAAAAAAAAAAAAAAAAAAAAAAAAAAAAAAAAAAAAAAAAAAAAAAAAAAAAAAAAAAAAAAAAAAAAACCTGCACTGGCTACGGGGCTCAACCTGGCAATGGCAACATTCAACATCCCCCCCCCCCCCCCCCCATGCAAAACGGGAACTACATGGGGCGCACTCTGAATAGGCAAGAGCTTCCCCCGAGGGCAGGACGACCACGGGAGGTATCCCAGATTATTCGGAGCGCGCCAGATTTCTCGCGCACGAAAAACATGCTTCTCTCTTCGGGCACATCCTCGCTAGCCTCCAAAACGCCAGCGCCCCAGAGTTCAGCAGCGAACTCTCCAAGAAGTCGAGGCCGACCCCGAGAGACAGGATCCAGGAAGAGGTTGCCTCCAAAATCGCGCTTACGAGCGGCAACCTCCTCGGGCGCGACAGGGAGGGGAAGCCGCTGACCCACGCCACCGAACAAAATAACAAACAACTAAAACCTACGCAACGATCTACGAGAAGGGGCGAAGAAGAAGTAGCCTCCGAAGCTCCTAGCTCGTTCAAGGCTCGGAGACCCTCGAAGAGCCACCCCTCCTGCGCTCGACGGCGCCGCAGCCGGCGTCGCTGACTCTGCGAGAGCCCCGCGCCGCTGGACCCCCCCCCCCCACACACACACGCACACACACACAGCAAAACTCCTGAGGCGGCAGACAGAGAAATTGACAGGACACCCGTTGACGCGTCATGTGGAGCTTGAAAACGCCCCAGGGCAGCACCCACCGCCAACCCCTGAAACCCTGCAGCTTGCCCTCGAGGAGGCGGAGCACATAGACCCCCATCGCAGCGGCGCAAGAATGAAAGGGGGACGACGGTCATGCTCGACCACATCGTCCCTGATCACCCCTCTTCTCCGTGGCGGCATGCTTCGCCGACGGGGTGTCGATGCCCATGGCCAGGGCCGCAGCGCGGGGTGGTGGGCACCATCAACACCAAGCCCTCACGAAGTCGCTGCTGCGCAGGTTCTCAATGCCCCGGAACAGCGAGCGCTCGATGAGCCAGTCGTCGCCATCGGCGGGGCCCGTGTCCACCTGGCGCAAGGGATCCTCGCACGCGCTCTCATACATCTGGTGGCGGCGAACGCTCAGCTCGAAGGCCACCAGGGCGCCGACCTGACCGAGGTCAACCGTCAGCAGAGCCTCCATCAGCTGGGACAGCCGCAGGCGTTCGTCAACCTCCACATCCGAAGCCGCCAATCCCAGCGTGTAGCGCCACCCGTAGTAATACCGAACAGGCTCCTGGCGCCCCTCGTGGATGCGGACCGCCGCGCGGCGAGTCGACCGTGGCCCTTTGATCTCCAAATCGGTGCCGAAGTCGACCTCACTCCTCGCATGCCAGGCGTCCGAAGACGAGCGACGGTGGCAGCGTACCCAGTCCCTCTCTGCGGACAGGATGCACGAAGCCTCCGCCGCCACTGTTCCCGTAGGTTCCACCGAACCCTCGAGACCCTCCCCCAACAACGTGTCGTCCGTCAGCGGGAACAGGCACCTGTCGATGGCGATCTGGAACCACTCGCCCATATGCGCCAACAGCGCCTCGACAAAGTCCATGTCGTACTGGGGATCCTTCTCGAACGTGAAGGGGACGGGGAGGGACGCCGGCGCGCCCCGAACCGCGGCAGGCACCGCACCTCCCGTACCGAACTTCTGACGCCCGTCACTCTCGCCCAGGTTTTCCTCGAAGATGTCAAAGTCCCACGAAAAGACGACCTAATTGGTGCACACGAGGCGGGCCAGCGGGACCCGCTCAGGACATCCCACCGCCGCCTCGCCCGCGCTAAGGAGGTAACAGACGAGGACCCGAACAACGACCTCCAGGTGCTGAACCCCCGCGGGCGTGGCCATCGTCACTGTCCGTGGTGGGGCAGTCGGTGCACACGCGTGCGGACGTCGTGGGCTGAATCCGGCCGCGCCCGACACCCACAGCAGAGAGGAAGGCGCCCCGCAAACGGGCACGACGAGGACGGACAGGTACAGGCCGCCCCCGCTGCCTCCGCCGCCACTACGAGGGGCGACTCAGCCGCTCGACCAGCAGGAAGCACTCGCCCGTCACGGCCACCTTGGGCGGAAGCCCCTCCGATGGCAATCCTCGGGCGACTGGAGGCCAGGTGTCGAAAGAGGACCACTCTCAAAGGGCTGAGAGAGTGGCCAGCAGAAAGCCGAAGGCCTCCCTAAACTCCTGAACCCTAAAGCCTGCAGAGCGGAAGAAGCGGATGCAAAGGCCAGATCATACCCGCGGGGCACAAGCATCATCATCATCATCATCATCATCATCATCATCATCATCATCATCATCATCATCATCAACATCATCAACAGCAGCAGCATCAGTACCAGCAGCATCAGCATCAGCATCAGCATCAGCATCAGCACCATCATCATCATCATCATCCTCATCCTCATCCTCATCATCATCATCATCATCATCATCATCAGCATCTTCATCAGCAGCAGCAGCATCAGCATCAGCATCAGCATCAGCATCATCATCATCATGATCATCATCATAATCAGCATCAGCATCATCACCATCATCATAATCATCATCATCTCATCATCATTGTCATCATCATCCATCAGCATCAGCATCAGCATCAGCAGCATCATCAGCATCAGCAGCAGCATCAGCATCATCAGCAGGATCAGCATCAACATCAGCATCAGCATCAACATCATCATCATCATCGTCATCATCATCATCATCGTCCTCATCCTCCTCCCCCTCTTCCGGCTACTCTTGGCATTCGCATTATGAGTGTTAGTACTGGTGCTGGTAGTATTTCTTAGAATGCGTATCATCAACATTCCTCCTCCTCCTCCGCCTCTCCCTCCTCCTCCTCACCCTCCTCCTCCTCCTCCAACTCCCAAGACATGGTCCTAAAAGGTCGACCATGGCTCAAGGTACCCTCCGACAGACCTCCAAGAGGCCGCAAGACAACCAGACGATGGCCCAAGATAGCTGAGCATGGCTCAAGATAGCATCCGACAGCCTCGAGTCGAGCATGGCGTCAGGAATTCGCAACAGCTTCAAGAATGGAGGGCGGGTCATGTTGAAAATGTTGATCGCACCTTCGGCCTGGCAGATTCGTCTGCAAAAAGCTTGCAACATGTTCAGCAATGTCCGGTTATTTTCAAAATGTGGCTGTCGTCTTAGCGCCGCGCAGATTCGTCTGAACAATCCCCAGCTGTGTCACAGGATGGAGGGCTGGTACGTTTCAAAATGTGGCCCTCGACTAGGCGCCGCGCACATTCGTCTGAAAAGTTCGCACCAACATCAAGGATGGAGCGCGGGACACTTTCAAAATGGGAGTATCGCTGTAGCGTCGCGCGCATCCACTGTAACAAGTTTGCAGCAGTTTGAAGAATGTCGAGGGGATGAAGGCCAAGGAATTGTGTTCTGACGCGATTTGGGATTGCCAGGACACAACAATCATGCTGATTCGCTGTGTGGACGTCCCAGGATGGGTTGTCAAGAGGCAACGGTCACATTGCTCCGCGGCGTTAAAATCACAGGCACGGCGTTTTGGAACTATTGGGGATTCTCTCAGACGGTTGTCTTTCAACGGGGTACCTCCTGCAATGGAAACAAATTATCAGACGGACCTATGAACAGGGACCTTGGAGGGAGGGTGTATTGCAACATCGTTGATGCGCGTTTGGAATCACACTCCTCCTCATTCTCCTCCTCCTCTTCCTCCTCCTCCTCCTGTTCCTCCTCCTCCTGCTCCTCCTGCAACTCCTGCTCCTCCTCCTCTTCTTATTGTTGTTATTCGCATTATTTTTACTCCTCCTCCTCCTCCTCCTCCTCCTCCTCCTCCTCCTCGGGGGCGCCCGCCGCCTTGAACTCCTCGGCGAAGTGCACGAAGCGCCAGTCGAGCTGCTTCCGCACCTCGGCGAGCGCGGCGTCCGTGGCCGCGCGCTCCGCGCGCAGCAGCTGGAAGACGTCCTCCAGCAGCACGGGCTGCTGCCTCGCGGATCGAGGAGGATCGAGGATCGAGCTAGGTCAAGAATCCGAGGGGAGGGTCGGGGATCGAGGACGTCCTCCAACAGCACAGGCGGCTGCCTCCCCTCTTGCGCGGGGGCAGCAAGCGACCACAACCACATCGAGGGCGCACCGATCGTCAGAGCACCGAAACCAGCTCAGTACTGGTTGTGGTCGATGTGGGCGTCCCAAATGTCCAAATCGACCACAGCCTGTTCATGTCGAGGTTGGTGGGCTCTCCCCCGAGGGGCCCTCCCGCCGACAGGGAGTCCGCACGTTCCTGGGATGGGTGGGGCTATCAAACCCCTAATTGTAAGCGTTTTTAATTCGGCGTTCCGACAATGGGCGGAAAGGGGGGGATGGGGGGAGGTCTGGCTCCGGACCTCTGCTTAGTGCGAGTGTTTGCGACAGTGCGTCCTATGAGGGAGGGACTCCACCTGCTCGAAACAGGCGAAAACAGCCAAGATCCACTCCGGAGGGGAGAGGGGGAGGGAGGGGGGGTCCAAGGGCCAGCGCCGATGGGCAAAACAATAAAATAACATAAAAACGATCACATTGTCGGCGATCCATGGGCGATTGGGGGTCGAAGCATCCCATCCTGCGCCTATCCCTCCCTCTCGCTGCCCCGACGCTAATCGACGCGAGTCGACGCTAATAGATACAAAAAAAGGAGCTAAACCGGCGCATCTCACCGACTACCAGGCGCTAGTCGATGCTGATACACTCTTCTAAAGAGGGGGCTACAAGGATATCCGCCACCGTGCCTCTGGCACGAAGTGGAGTGCCCCAAGGCTCATGCAACACTGAGAGGGCTGTGCTGCTGCTGCTGCATCCAGAACTGTAAATCATCAAAGGCCTAGACAGACCAGGGCACCCCGGGCCGGCCTGGGGTCCGCCGGAATCTAAGATCGCTCCAAGACGCCCAAGATGGCCTCGAGATGGCCCAAGAGGCCTCCAAGACACCACAAGAGACCTCCAGGAGGGAGGCCTCCCAAGAGGACCCCAAGAGGGCCCCAGAGGTTTTGCAGGATTTGGGCGTTCTCGCCTGTTCGGCTTCCCGGCGCTCCAATACGTCCCCAGAGGCCCCCAAGACCACCCCAAGACCACCCCAAGGCGGCCCAAGAAGCCCCCAAGAGAGCCCCAAGACGGGCTCAGAGCGCCCCAAGACGGCCCAAGAAGGCGCCCAAGACGTTCCAAAAGGGCCGGCCCTGAGACGCCCACAAAAGGGGCCCAAGAGAGGGAACACGAACCGAAAATCCAAGCCTTTCCGCCCCAAGAGGCCCCCAAGGAGGCCCCAAGAGGCGACCAAGAGGCCCCAAGAGGGCCCCCCAGGAGGCCCCAAGGACGCCCAAAAGAGGCCAAAAGAGGCCCCGAAACGGCCCTGGGAGGCTTCAAAACTGCCTCCAAGAGGCCCTCGAGAGGCCCCCATACGAGATCCCAACGAACCCACAACCCAGTCACGGTGGCAGGATGGGCCGAAGGCCATTTGATCCGCCGCCCCCTGTCGATTCATCGCAGGGGTGCCTGGCGTGCTAAACTATTTCGGTTTTGGAATTGGTTCTATTTCCCAAAGAACTCCCCCTGGGGCTTCGGCCCGTCCCGCCAGGCACCCGACAGACCCGGTTGCAAACGGTTTTCCTGCCCCAGACAGCTGAAGATGGCCTCCAAGATGGCCACGTTGGCCCAAGATGGCCCCCAAGATGGTCCAAGATGGCCTCCAAGTCGGCCCAAGAGAGGAGGTGATGTCTCCAAGTTTGCTCAAGAAACCTGCAAGACGGCCCAAGACGGCCCAAGAGGTACCCAAGAGGCCCAAGAGACCTCCAAGAGGTCCTCCAGGAGGGCCCAGAGAGCCCAAAATCATTGATTTTCCTTAGGTTTTTTGGAGGTTTTGCGTATTTGCTCATTTTCGGCTTTCCGACGACCCTAGACGGCCCAAGAGGCCCCCAAGATCGCCCCCACAGCGCCCAAGAGGCCTCCAAGATGGCGTCAGGATTGCCCAAGAGGCTCCCAAAACGGCCCCAAGAGGGCACAAAGACGACCCAAGAGGCCTCCAAGACGCCCAAGATGGCCTCTAAGACAGCCCTGGAGCACCCCACGAGGGCCCCAAGTCGGCCCAGACAGGCCCCCCAAAAAACGGCTTCCGACGGCGTCAGATGGGCCAGGAGCCCACCACGACGGCCGAAGTTGGCTCGAAGCTGGCCCAAGACGGCCCAAGGCCTCCAAGAGGGCTTCCAGGAAAACCAGAAAAGGCCCAAAACAGTGATGATCCTTAGGTTTTTGAAGTGTTTGGACATTTGCGGGTCAAAATGGCCTCCAGACGGCCAAGATGACCTTCAAGATGCCCACGTGTTCCCCGAAGGCTTTCAAAACCGATTCGGGGAGCACATGGTCCGATAGCTTGGCAGGTCTGGCCTCAACGTTCGGCCACATAGGCGCTTCCAAAAAGGCAGGGGGCGGCAGTGATTCGCCATAGGCGTCTTCGATCCGCAGCCCCCTGTCGATTCATCACAGGGGTGCCTGGCGTGCTAGATGATTTCGGTTTTGCTTTTGGTTCTTTTCCAAAAGAACTCCCCCTGGGGCTCCGGCGCGTCCCGCCGGGGTCCCCGGAGAGACTCCAGGCCCGCAAACGACCTCAACGTCCGCAAAAAATTCTCCTAGACCGCTCAAGATAGCCTCCAAGACGATCAAGATGGCCCTCAAGCTCGCCCAAGATGGTCCAAGACGGCCTCCCAGACGGCCCAAGAGGGTCCCAGATACAAGTTCGCCCAAGAAGCCTCCAAGACGGCCCAAGAGGCCCCCAAAAGGTCCTCCAGGAGGCCAAAATCGCTGATTTTCCTGAGGGTTTTAAAGGATTTTGGCACTTGTTTCTTCTCGGCATTCCGACGGCTCAAGACGGTCCAGGAGGCCCTCAAGATCGCCCCAAGATCGTCCACGAGGCCTCAAAGATGGCCCCATGAAGGCCAAAAAGGCCTCCAAGACGGCCCCAAGAGGGCCCGAAGAGGCCTCCAAGACGGCCAAGATGGCGTCGAAGACGGCTCAGATTGACTGAAAATGCCTCCCAGGTGGCCCAAGACGCGACGAAGACGGCCTAAGATGGCCTCAAGATGGCCCAAGACGGCGCAAGAGGCCCCCAGGAGGCCTCCAAGACGGGCCAAGAGCCCTCCAAGAGGTCCTCCAGGTGGGTCCGAAGAGCCCAAATCGTTGATGTCCCTGATGTTTTGGAAGGAGTTTGGCATTTGCTCCTTCTCGGCACTCCGACGGCTCAAGACGACCCAAGAGGCCCCCAAGATCGCCCCAAGATCGCCCACGAGGGCCCAAGGATGGCCCCATGACAGCCCAAGAAGCCCCCAAGAAGCCTCCAAAATGGCCAAGATGGAGTACAAGATGGCTACGATGGCCCCAAGATGCCTCCAAGACGGCCCAAGATGCACCCAATACGGCCTGGGATGACATCAAGATGGCCCAAGAGGCGCTCAAGCGGTATCCATGACGGGCCAAGAGGTCTCCAAGAGGTCCTCCAGGAGGGCCCGAAGAGGTAAAACTCATTGATGTTCCTAAGACTTTTGACGGATTGTGGCATTTGATTATTCTCGGCATTCCGACGGCTCAAGACGGCCCAAAAAGCCTTCAAGCTTGCCCCCAAGATCGCCCACGAGGCCTCCCAGATGGCCCCATGACAGCGCCAAAAGCTCCCAAGGCAGCCCCGAGAATGCCCCAAGACGGCCCAAGAGGCCTCGAAGACGCCTAAGATGGCCTCGAAGAAGGCCCTGAAATGCCCCTAAGAGGGCCCCAAGACGACCCAGGCAGGCCCCCAAGACGGCCTCCGACGGCGTCAGACAAGCCACGAACGCCCTAAGGCCCCCAAGAAGCTCCAAAAGGCCCCGAATGCCCCAAGAGGCGCCCAAGACGCCTCCTCTTTTTCCTCCTCCTCCTCCTCCTCCTCCTCCTCCTCCTCCTCCTCCTCCTCCTCCTCCTCCCTCTCCTCCCCATCCTCATCCTCCTCCTCATCCTCAGCATCATCATCACCAGCATCAGCATCAGCATCAGCATCATCATCATCATAATCATCATCATCATCATCATCATCATCATCATCATCATCATCATCATCATCATCAGAATCATCATCATCATCCTCATCATCCTCATCATCATCATCATCAGAATCAGCATCATCATCATCATCATCAGCATCAGCATCAGCATCATCAGTATCATCATCATCATCATCATCATCATCATCATCATCATCATCATCATCATCATCATCATCATCGTCATCGTCATCGTCATCGTTATCATCATCATCGTCATCATCATCATCCTCATCATCACCATCATCATCTCATTTTTTTTCTGATCCTCCCTCTCCTCCTCTTTTTGATCCCCCACGCGTTCACCGAAGTCTTTCCAAAGCGACCCGGGAAACAACTGGCCAGGGAGGCTCCCAGAAGTTCTCCTGGCGGCTCTAAGAGTTCCCCAAGAGGCTCCCAAGAGGCCTCCTCCTCCTCCTCCTCCTCCTCCTTGTTCCGATTCCTCCTACTCCACTTCCTCCTCCTCCTCCTCCTCCTCCTCCTCCTCCTCCTCCTCCTCCTCCTCCTCCTCCTCCTCCTCCTCTTCCCTCCTCATCTGATGCTCCCCCTCATCCTCCGCCAAATGTTCCCCCGAGAGTTTCCACAGCGTCAGGGGGGACACACAGGCAGATAGCCTGGCAAATATGGGGTCCAACGTTTTGCCACGGAGGCGTTTCCCCCGAGGCTCCCATTAGGTCCTCCAAGATGGCCCAAAGATGCTTCCAAGACGGCCCAAGATGCACCCAAGACGGCCCAATATAGTCTCAAGATGGCTCAAGACGGCCCAAAAGGCCCCCAAGATCCCCCCGAGGCGCCTCCACGAGGTCCTCCAGGAGGGCCCGAAGAGCCCAAAATCGAAGATGGTCCTTCGGTTTTTGAAGGACTTTGGCTTCTGCCCCTTTTCGGCCTTCCGACGACCTTAAGACGGCCCAAGAGGCCCCTAGGATCGACCCAAAATCGCTCACGGGGCCTCCAAGATGGCCCCTATGGCGGTTTTTTACCCCCCCCAAAAAAAAATATCCAGGCGAAGGACCCAACCATATGCAGTTGTGAGTATCGCAATTGTGAGTATCTTCTTCGGTGGCGCTCCCTATGGGGCCACGAACCGCATGAGGGGTGTGCCGAAATGTGGCGGGGTACACAACGCAAAGGAATACGATAGATCTGATTACGAGAGAAAGAACGCGGGTGAGTCAGAGCGCGAGGGAATCTGAGTATGAATGGGTCTGCGCGCGAGTGAATATATTTGCATGAATGCGATCATGGAAACGCCTAGTGTAAGTGTATATGAATGTGAATGGTTCGAGCATGCCTGTCCGAACACACGTGACACTGGGCGTGGCCGCCGCAGGCAGCTTCCGCGGGAACCCCGACGGCAGCGTCCGCACGTCGCGACGCCCATGTCGGCACGCCTCTTGCGAGGATCGCGCCCGCTTTCGGCTCTTCTTTTCCTTCCTCTTTGCCCGCGCACTCCAAAATCCAAGGCTGCGGGCGCAGCGCAGCGCGGAGTCCCCGCGACGCGCGCTGGTCGCCCCGGGCGGGGTCCCAGCGACGCGCGCGGGTCGTCCGCTGCGCGAAGCAGAGAGAGCTGACTAGCTAACTGGCTGGCTGATAGCGGGCAAGTCTCTGACCGCTGGGCAGAGCGACGACGGGCGAACGAGGCGCCGGGCCCCCCGCAGCACGGAGTTCCCGCGACGCGCGCTGGTCGCCCCGAGAGGGTCCCAGCGACGCGCGCGGGTCGTCCGCGGCGCGAGGCCAAACAATTAGTCGGGCAGTCGAGAGAAGGCGCGGCTCGGGGGAGACGCTCCTCAGGTCAGGCCTCGCGGATGAACTCGGTGAAGCCGAGCTCCCTGGCGAGGGCCGTCGCTTCCCTCCTGCACCGCTTCGTGCGCGCCGCAAACTGCTCCAGCTGCTTCCGCAAGCCCTGCGGCGGCCCTGCCAGGAAGAACTCGATGCGCGGCGCCCGCATGAGCAGGAGGTCCTCGTGGCGCGTGGCGCGCGAGAGCAGCACGTAGAGCTCCAGCCACCAGTCGTCGTCCTCCTTCTTGCCGTTCCCTACCTCGTGGCGGCCGCAATCCAGGATCACGCCTGGGCGACGTCGACCGAGGGAGCAGCGCGCCGGGCAGCCGACGGCCCAGGGCGAGAGTCCACAGGACCGAGAGATGGTCTGGCCGCGGACTGCTCGCGCCCCGGAGGTCTGGCCGCCCCCGGAGCGCCGTTCCCCTGCCCCGTCGCCTTCGCGCATGGTGCGCCCCTGGCACGCCACCGTGGTGATGACCCTGCCGTGCGAGAAATGCGGGGGGGGTGCCGAAATGGGTGGGGGTGACGCATGCGGGCGGCGGCACTGAGGCCTTCGGTGGAGCTCCCTATGGAGCCACGAAACGTGTGAGGGGTGTGCCGAAATGGGTGTGGGTGACGCATGCGGCCGCGGGCACTGGGGCCTTCGGTGGAGCTCCCTATGGAGCCTCGAAACGTGTGAGGGGTGTGCCGAAATGGGTGTGGGTGACGCATGCGGCCGCGGGCACTGGGGCCTTCGGTGGAGCTCCCTATGGAGCCACGAAACGTGTGAGGGGTGTGCCGAAATGGGTGTGGGTGACGCATGCGGCCGCGGCCACTGGGGCCTTCGGTGGAGCTCCCTATGGAGCCACGAAACGTGTGAGGGGTGTGCCGAAATGGGTGTGGGTGACGCATGCGGCCGCGGGCACTGGGGCCTTCGGTGGAGCTCCCTATGGAGCCACGAAACGTGTGAGGGGTGTGCCGAAATGGGTGTGGGTGACGCATGCGGCCGCGGGCACTGGGGCCTTCGGTGGAGCTCCCTATGGAGCCACGAAACGTGTGAGGGGTGTGCCGAAATGGGTGTGGGTGACGCATGCGGCCGCGGGCACTGGGGCCTTCGGTGGAGCTCCCTATGGAGCCACGAAACGTGTGAGGGGTGTGCCGAAATGGGTGTGGGTGACGCATGCGGCCGCGGCCACTGGGGCCTTCGGTGGAGCTCCCTATGGAGCCACGAAACGTGTGAGGGGTGTGCCGAAATGGGTGTGGGTGACGCATGCGGCCGCGGCACTGGGGCCTTCGGTGGAGCTCCCTATGGAGCCACGAAACGTGTGAGGGGTGTGCCGAAATGGGTGTGGGTGACGCATGCGGCCGCGGGCACTGGGGCCTTCGGTGGAGCTCCCTATGGAGCCACGAAACGTGTGAGGGGTGTGCCGAAATGGGTGTGGGTGACGCATGCGGCCGCGGGCACTGGGGCCTTCGGTGGAGATGCCCGAATGGAGGGGTGTGAGCCGAAATGGGTGTGGGTGACGCAACTGGGGCCTTCGGTGGAGCTCCCTATGGAGCCACGAAACGTGTGAGGGGTGTGCCGAAATGGGCGTGGGTGACGCATGCGGCCGCGGGCACTGGGGCCTTCGGTGGAGCTCCCTATGGAGCCACGAAACGTGTGAGGGGTGTGCCGAAATGGGCGTGGGTGACGCATGCGGCCGCGGGCACTGGAGCCTTCGGTGGAGCTCCCTATGGAGCCACGAAGCGTTGTCATGGGTGGGTGAAACGCAGGGAGGCGGGAGGAGAGGGGGGAGGAGGGAGGAGGGCGAGGAGGGAGAGGAGGAGAGGAGGAGGAGAAGGACGCGGGGCACCGTCTCTTCAAAACGAGGACCCAACACCACAGGATGGCGGGGAGAGGGGGGGGGGGGAAAAAAAAAAAAATGCAGCGGATCCCGCCAACAGGCTCGTCCCCAGGCCTTCTCGAAGGCCTCCCAGATCTTCAGCTCCTTCACCAACCAGTGCTTACCCACGACGCACTGGCAACTGTGGCTCGGCAGCCAAGGCGTTTCCCGTTTGCGGGTGCTTTCCCGACATGGTCGCCCTTAGAGCTCATGCCCCGCGACGCCAGGGGCCCCGGGCAGGCTGCCCCAAGCCCCGCGCCTCTTCTCGCCGAGCGTGCCCCGCACACCACGCGCACCACGCAAGGACCATGTACTTCGACACGATGCTCCCGCCTCTGCGCATGGCCTCCTGGGTACGTTGCTGCTGACCCCCGTCTGCCGCTGCGGTTGCAGCTGCTGCGGCGGCGGCTGCCACCGCCATGGCCACGCTGGCCCCCAGCGAAATCGCGGAACCCGTAGCTCTCGCCCCTGTTGATCTCCACGGGGCGGCCGGCACTCTGACCCCCGCAGCTTCTTACACGCCCGCTCGGTGGCCGCCCGCCGCCCGCATCGCAGGCGCACCACCCAGCCGCTGACCCGCTGCACCTCGTGCCTCGTGAGCGCAGTACGTGGCTTCACCAGCTTGCGCAGCGGTCGCCCCCGCTCTCGCTTCGGCGCTTCAAGCCATTCCCCTGCCATCTGCTGACGTCACCAGCCTACGCACTCTGCGCGCCTGGTCTTCTATCGCCTGGTGCTTCCCGCAATACGCATCCAGCTCCGCTCCTGCCTGTGCCAACAAGTCTACCTCAGCGCTGCCCTTCGCAATCCTCCTCTCGCTTGCCTCAAGCAGCTCGGCCCTCGCCTTGGACCCGTGCGCCTTCACATGGTAGACCCCGTTGACGTTTGGGTCCCACATCGCTGACATTGTGCCAGATGCTCTCCCGGTCATCCGCACGCGGCCTCTTCCAGCTGAGACACCAGCGCTCGCCCTTCTGCAAGCCGCCCACGATGCCCTCGTGCCCTCGTGGTCCGCGTAGATCCTGCCGATGCCCAACTTATGCTTCAGCGCCTTGTAGAAGGCCCACTCCGCGCGCTTAACCTTCCTGTGCACTGGTAGCGCGCACGGCAATGGCCCCCACATCTGGTACCTCGGCTTGCCATACTCGTCAATCGACATGGCCGCCCAGCCCGTCTGCGCCCATCCACTGCAGCCGAGCATGGACCCGCCGCACACGATGTCACCCTCGAAGTAGTCCCCGCCCCCTTCTAGTGCCAGGTGCATGCGCTGACCCTCGTCGACCCCTACGAAAGTCCAATCCACTTCTGGATCTCGCACAAGCCCTCTCGTCCACAACAGGCTGTCCTCCTGCTGCTCCGCAACCGTCTGCCACTCTGGCTGCCATTGCAGCCTCTGTTCACGCAGCGCTGGGCCCTTGTTGTACCTGTGGCGCGGGGTGCCCACAGCCATGCCGCACGCCATGCAGATGTCCGTCGGCGCGATATCGCACTGGCACAACTTGCTCATCGCCCAGCTCCCGCCCGCGAAAGCCTTCTTCGCTGCGTTCTTAGCGCGCTTCGGAAAGCCCCTCGCCTGCAGCTGCGCAACCGCGGGGGCCGCGAGCGGCGCAGGCCGCAGACTCTCGCACTCCTCTGGCTTGGCCCAGGCCCCCCACACCAGTTGCTGCACATCCTGTCTGAGCATCGCCGCAACATCCACGGGGCAGATCTCGCGCATGTCCATCTCGCGACCGCCCTCCGCGATGACTGCGCGCCATGCTGGCCACGACCACCCCGCGCGCCGCAAAGACATGATGACCGCCCCAGCTGGCCCACGCGCTCTGGCCCACATCGGCCTCATGCCCACCTCCTGCTGCTGCCTCCGCCACGCCTTGAGCATCGTGCTCTCGACGTGGTCCCGCTGATGGCGCCCCCCGTCGCGCTGCGCCGTGCGCCAGACCTCGCGGGCCAAGCGGACGATGGGCGCCTCCGTGGCCTCGTAGGTGGGCCTCTCTCCAGCTAGCGCTAGCTGAAGCGTGAGGCATGTTGCACATCTTCCTCCTGGTAGCGCTCGCCCTGCCTCTCGTCACAGTCGCTGCGGTTGGTGGGCTGGCATGGCTAGACACTTGCAGCCGCGCAGAAGCGACCACTTCAGGCCTCGCTTAAACACCAACGCCGTACCCTTCGCCATCTCACGACCGCCGCCCTTGAGATTGGCCAACCTACGACCCCTGCTCAGCATGCCCTTGCACCTCTTGCCGCTGGCTGACTTCGCCGCCGTGCCGTGCATGACCAGGTCCGCTCCGACGTACGGACACGCTCGCACCACTGGAAGCCCTCTCTTCCCCATGTCCTTCGCTATCGCCTGACGCGCCCACTTGGTGTTCGGCTACCCACCGAGAACTCCAGGCCCAACTTGTCGAAACCATATAGATATATATATATATATATAGATATAAAACAGCAGTGGCGTTGCTGAACCCCTGCACGACGCATTGCTGATGCTGCCGTAGCCTTACGCACAGATCGCCCACATACATGCGCCACTTCACTCGCGGTCTCTCTACCACCAATCCGTCCACCGTAGACTGGATGACCATCTTCTGGAAGCACACCGGGAACTTGCTGCCCGCGATGATGGTCGCCACCGCGCTCGTCTCGCAGGACGCGGAGTCCCCCGCGATCAGCCTCCTCGCCAATGCGAAATACGAGCACGCCACCGCCAACACTCCCGCGTTGAAGTTGAGCTGCTTTCCCGCCCCCCACAGCACGTGCAAGCTAACCTTCTCGAAAGCCTTCACCAAGTCCTGCACGGCTGTGATCATGGCCTCCAACTCCTCACTCTGGTTGTCAGGATCGTCCATCTCGCAACTGGGCAGGGCGCCCCAAGCTGCGTCACCCGCCACCTTGCCATAGCTAGCGCAGCCCCAACTGCGCTGGTTCCTCTTTGCCCACTTGTTCATGTAGACTGCCCGCGTGACTTCCAATACTCGCACGGTTGTCAGCACCAGCCCTATCACCCTGTCGGACGTGAATGTCTCCGGTATGATGAAGAACAACACCGTCGCCATGTGAGTCGGCCAGAGCACCGTGCGCTCCACCTGCCTCAGGAAGTCCAGCAGCTTGCGGTAAGCCTCGTCGCTCGCGCCCTGCAGCATAGAGGGAAGCCACCGATCCACTCCTATCCCCGTGCGTTTCCTGAATGTGCGCGCGACCTCCTTCAGCTGGCCGACGTCGTCCTCCGTGTAGTCGTTTAGCTCTTCCCAGGCCTCCTGCCCCCACGGCCTCGGCGCTTCCTGCAGCGCCTCGTTAACCCTCCAGACGACCGTCCACTCCTCCAACGTGAACTCCGCCGTCTTCATGGGGTCCGTCGCCTTCTCCGCGGCGTCCGCTCGCCCGGGCCCCAAGACTACCGCCGCCTTGCTCAGCATGCGTAGCCCTCCTGTAGTTCCTGCCGCCGCGATCTCCAGCTTGTCGGCCCACTTTGCCGCCCTGTCCCTCGTGAGCTGCTTGTCTACCTCCTTCATCCTGCGCTCTGCCTCCTGCGCCCAGCTTTGGAGCATCGCCTCCTGGCGTTCGCCCCTCAGCTGGCCCGCGGCGATCAGGTCGCACCTGGCCTGCAATGTGCCCTGATCCCCCAGGCCGATGTGCTTCATGCGTTTGGGCCTCGTCCTGAATAGTTTCTCCAGCTCCGCGGTCTCACGCCTTCGATTCTGGATTTGCACATACTCCTTCTCGTTGCGGCACCTCTGGTGCGCCCCCTGCAGGCCTTGCGTTGACCTCGTAATCTATCTCCACCATGTTGCTGCCCTCGCCGCTGGTTGCACGTTATCGTATCCGAAGTTCAGCGGCTTCACGCGCCACTTCGGCTCTTCTGTCCTTCCAGCGCGCGGATCGCTCTGGCCCCAGCGCATGCCACGCACCTGAAACGCCTCCTTCTCGAGCACGCGCATGTACTTGGCCCGCTCCTGGCCCGCCTCCTCCTGCGCGCGGAACTGCTTCACATCCTCGTATCGCGGCGGCGCTGGCGCGCACCCACTCTGCGCGTCAGGCAGCGCCTGTGGCTTCTCCAGCACTCTGACCATTCGCTCGACCACCTTCAGCTCGATCGCGACCCCCACGGGCTTGTGCGGCGCAGCCGGCCACTCCTTCTGAACAACGATGTCCTGGACCTGCGCCGCCACGGAGCCCGCCGCCAGGAAGCAGTCGATCTCTCTGCTAACGCGCGCCGACACGTACCACACTCTGCATTGGCCGTAACCACCGTCGCCTTGGCCGCCTTCACACTCTCGACCTCTGCCACCACTTTTGACGCCACTTGGAAGTCGCCCCCGATGATCCACGGCGCACCTACGCCCTGCAGCTCCTCAATCACCTTCGCGGTAAGCTGCGCGCTCCGATCTGTCATGCCCTCCGCCGTCCACAGGCGCACTGCGGCGAACACAACTCCTTTGCCGATTGCCAGCCACGCCGCGGCAGCCCTGCCTGGGCCACTCCTCGGCGAGATGCCCCAGCGGTCCTTGCCGCAGAGGTACGTCATCCCAACGCACTTCGGCACATTGCCACCCCAGCTAAAGTACCTGCCTCACCATGGGGCCCTGTTGTAGCCACCGCCGCTGCACCGCCCATCCAGCAACCCCGGGCCCTCATGCTCCGCGGGACTGCCGCCGTCTTCTCAGCAGTTGGGTGATGCTCCTGCACTGCATAGCAGTGCAAACCCTGTATATCCTCCGTGATAATGCCCTTCATCGTGCCCCAGCCCGAACCGTTGTACGTCCACTGCGTGACAACGCCGTGCTTGGGCTTCCGTTTCCTCTTGTCAGAATCGCTTCTGCTTCTTGGCAACGTGCTCGGCCAGGCTGGCGCATACCTCCTGCCAACGCTCACGCTGCTCTGGAATAGCATATTCAGGTTCCCCTCCTGCGTGGAGCCACTCCTGTTCTTCAGCTGCAAGTACAGGTCCTTCATCTGGTGCTGATGCTGCTGCTGCTGGCACGGCTGGTGCTGCGCGCTGACCTGCCCCAGCCCGGAGGAGGTCACCGCCATCACCTGCAGCACCCATGTCCACGTCCACTTGCTTGGCGTTGGCCATGACCTTACCCAGCATCTTGAAGACGCTCTCGTACTCCTGCTGCGTAACTCCGCTGCCGTCGACCGCCGCTTCGAACTGTTTCCGCACTGCCGTGGGGAACCCTGGCGATTCCCGTGCCCCAAAGTCCTGCACCTTGAGCCCCTGCTGACCTGGCGATCTGCAGCTGCTGCTTCTTCTGGTCGTGCCTTGCGCGCGACTCCTCCAGCTTTTGCTTGTAACAGCTAACGTCCTAGGCGCTAGCCTCCAGTTCCTTCTCCAGCTTACCCCTGGCGTGCATGGCGTGGGCGAGCTGCACCAAGGGAGGTGTGCTGTTATCCTTCTCGTTGCGCGCCGCCTGGTACTTGGCGTGGGCCGCCTCGTACTCCTCCGATTCAGCGCCCCAGTCCTGCTTGCACGTCTGCGCCCACTTGAAGAGCCTCGCCAGGTCGACCGATGGCTCCTCCTCTGCAGGCACCTGCTCCCCGCCCTTGTTGTGCTCGGGCTCTTTGAGCTGTTCGCGCAAGGCATCCAATTTCTTCTGCATCGCTGCCTCCCGTTCAGACGGACCCAGCAGCACGTCCTTGTATGTCTGTTGACGCCGTGGTGCTGTGGCCCCGCAGCCCCGACAGCACTTCCGCGTCGCGTAGTTGTCCGCCGTCCCGCAGCTGCAGGACTACATGCCTTGTTCCGCTGTGCCCAGCGCGCCAGGGAGGCCCCCAGCTGCCATGACGCGCCCGACTGCCGTGCGGTAAACCGCACTGCCTGCCGCGGGCCAGCGGTATCCCCTGGACCACAGGGGCAGAGGCCCCTGGTGTTGGTCATCTTGAGCCAAAATGGCTACGGCAGACGGCCCCACGACGGCCCAAGAAGCCCCCAAGAAGGCCCCAAGAGGGCCCCAAGACGGCCCAAGAGGCCTCCAAGACGCCCAAGATGGCCTCCAAGACGGACCCGAAGCGCCCCAAGAGGGCCCCAAGCCGGCTCAGAGAGGCCCCCAAGACGGTTCCCGACGGCGTCCGACGGGCCAGGAACGCCATACGACGACCAAAGAAGCCCCCGAGAAGCCCCAAAAGGGCCCCAAGAGGCCTTCAACAGGCCCTAAGAAAGCCCAAGATAACCCCAACATGGCCTCCAAGACGGTCCCAAGATGGTCCAATCGAGCCCAACGGTGCCTCAAGAGGCTCCGAAGAGCCATCATACCCCTTCTCCTTGTTCCTCCTTCTCCTCCTCCTCACCTTCTTGCCCCCCGCGTTCCCCGAAACCTTTCCAAACCGACTCGGGGAACACATGGTCCTATAGCTTGGCCAAGCTCTAGCCCAGCTGTCAGACACATAGGCGCTTCCACAAGGGCAGGAGGCGGCGGTGATTCGCCGTAGGCGTCTTCGATCTGCCGCCCCCTGTTGGCTTGCCACAGGGGTGCCCAGCGTGCTAGAACATTTCGATTTGGGTTTTGGTTATTTTGCACAAGAACTCCCCCCGGGGCTTCGGCCGAACCCGCCGGGGTCCAAGAAAGGCCCCGCAACCACCTCAACGTCCGCAAAAAATTCTCCAAGACGGCTCAAGATGGCCTCTAAGATGGTCATGTTGGCCCGAGACGGCCTCCAAGATGGCCCAAGATGGCCTCCAAGTCCGCCCAAGATGGTCCAAGATGGCTCCAAGACGGCCCGAGAGAGTCCAAGATGCCTTCAAGTTCGTCCATGCAGCCTCCAAGACGGCCCAAAATGGTTCCAAGAGATGGCCCAAGACTGCCCAAGAGGGCCCCAAGAGGCCTCCAGGACGTCCTCCAGGAGTGCCCGAAAGGGAAAAAAATACGCTACCGAGGAACCCCACATACTTAATTTAAATATTATGTGTTTGCTTAAGTTTATAATATATGCGCAATTCTGCGTTCTGAGCCCTCGTCGCGAATGTTCCCCTATGTGTCATGCAACGCCATATTGCTTGAACCTCCTCCCTTCCTAGCCTTCTATCCTCCATCGAAGACAGATTCGAGCCAGCCAGCGGCCGCGGTGAGGGACCACGCCCTGCGCACCCCGTCTGGCGTCGAGAAAGCGCCACGCTTGCTATGCTCTGGACGACCGGAGCGCATGCCGGCCGCGGTGAGGGACTACCCCCTGCGCACCCCCTGTGGTGTAAAGCAAATGCCACGCCCGCTATGCCCTGGACGACCGTCGCGCATAGCGGCCGCGGTGAGGGACCACCCCCTGCGCACCCCGTCTGGCGTCGAGAAAGCGCCACGCTTGCCATGCCCTGGACGACCGTCGCGCATAGCGGCCGCGGTGAGGGACCACCCCATGCGCACCCTCTATGGTGTCGAGAAAGTGCCACGCTTGCTATGCCCTGGACGACGACCGTCGTGCATAGCGGCCGCGCTGAGGGACCACCCCCTGCGCACCCTCTTATGGTGTCGAGAAAATGCCACGCCTGCTATGCCCTGGACGACCGTCGTGCATAGCGGCCGCGCTGAGGGACCACCCCCTGCGCACCCCCTATGGTGTCGAGAAAGTGCCACGCTTGCTATGCTCTGGACGACCGGAGCGCATGCCGGCCGCGGTGAGGGACTACCCCCTGCGCACCCCCTGTGGTGTAAAGCAAATGCCACGCCCGCTATGCCCTGGACGACCGTCGCGCATAGCGGCAGCGGTGAGGGACCACCCCCTGCGCACCCCCTATGATGTCGAGAAAATGCCACGCGACAACCTGGACGACCGTCGTGCATAGCGGCCGCGGTGAGGGACCACCCCCTGCGCACCCCCTATGGTGTCGAGAAAATGCAACGCCTGCTCTGCCCTGGACGACCGTCGTGCATAGCGGCCGCGCTGAGGGACCACCCCCTGCGCACCCCCTATGGTGTCGAGAAAATGCCACGCCTGCTCTGCCCTGGACAACCGTCGTGCATAGCGGCCGCGCTGAGGGACCACCCCCTGCGCACCCTCTATGGTGTCGAGAAAGTGCCACGCCTGCTATGCCCTGGACGACCGTCGTGCATAGCGGCCGCGCTGAGGGACCACCCCTGCGCACCCCCTATGGTGTCGAGAAAATGCCACGCCTGCTCTGCCCTGGACAACCGTCGTGCATAGCGGCCGCGCTGAGGGACCACCCCCTGCGCACCCTCTATGGTGTCGAGAAAGTGCCACGCTTGCTATGCCCTGGACGACCGTCGTGCATAGCGGCCGCGCTGAGGGACCACCCCCTGCGCACCCCCTATGGTGTCGAGAAAATGCCACGCCTGCTATGCCCTGGACGACCGTCGTGTATAGCGGCCGCGCTGAGGGACCACCCCCTGCGCACCCCCTATGGTGTCGAGAAAATGCCACGCCTGCTATGCCCTGGACGACCGTCGTGTATAGCGGCCGCGCTTGAGGGACCACCCCTGCGCACCCCCTATGCGAGAAAATGCCACGCCTGCTATGCCCTGGACGACCGTCGTGTATAGCGGCCGCGCTGAGGGACCACCCCCTGCGCACCCCCTATGGTGTCGAGAAAATGCCACGCCTGCTATGCCCTGGACGACCGTCGTGTATAGCGGCCGCGCTGAGGGACCACCCCCTGCGCACCCCCATGGTGTCGAGAAAGTGCCACGCCTGCTATGCCCTGGACGACCGTCGTGTATAGCGGCCGCGCTGAGGGACCACCCCCTGCGCCACCCTGCTATGGCGTCGAGGTGTCGAGAAAATGCCACGCCTGCTATGCCCCCTGCGCAGAAAATGCCACGCCTGCTATGCCCCCTGCGCACCCCCTATGGTGTCGAGAAAATGCCACGCCTGCTATGCCATGGACGACCGTCGTGTATAGCGGCCGCGCTGAGGGACCACCCCCTGCGCACCCCCTATGGTGTCGATAAAATGCCACGCCTGCTATGCCCTGGACGACCGTCGTGCATAGCGGCCGCGCCTGAGGGACCACCCCCTGCGCACCCCCACGCCTGCTATGCCCTGGACGACCGTCGTGTATAGCGGCCGCGCTGAGGGACCACCCCCTGCGCACCCCCTATGGTGTCGAGAAAATGCCACGCCTGCTATGCCCTGCTGAGCTGAGCTGAGCTGTGCTGTGCGGTGCTGTGCTGAGCTGAGCTGAGCTGTGCTGAGCTATGCTGAGCAGTGCTGTGCTGTCCTGTGCTGTGCTGTGATGTGCTGTGCTGTGCTGTGCTGCGCTGTGCGAGAAGGGGAAGAGGGAGGTGAGGTGAGGGAGCGCGGGTGCGACGAGGCATGGAAGAAAACCAGAACCCCACTAAGCATGTGGGGAATCATTGTTTCTCCCTAGATGTTTGAAGGATGTTGCCATTTTCTGTTTTTCAGCTCTCCGACGGCCCAAGACGGCCCAAGATGCCCCCAACATCGTCCCAAGAGCGCCCAAGAGGCCTCAAATATGGCCCCATGACAGGCCAAGAGGGCCCTAACAAGACCCCAAGACGGCCCAAGATGGCCCCGAAGACGCCCAAGATGGCCTCCAAAACTGCCAAGATGGCCTCCAAGATGCCTCCAAGACGGCGAAGAAAGCCTCCAAGACGGCGAAGATGGCCCCAAGATGCACCCAAGACGGCCCCAGATGGCCTCAAGATGGCCTTAGACTACCCAAAAGGCCCGCAAGAGGCCTCCAAGACGGCCCAAGACCCCTCCAAGACGTCCTCCAGGAAGGCCCGAAAGCTCGGAAACCATCTGGTCCGATAGCTCGCCCGACTCCGAGTTCCCCGAAAGCTTTTGAAATTCACTCGGGGAACGCGTGGCCCGATAACTTGGCCAAGCTCAAACCCAACTTTCGGCCACGCAAACGCTTCCAAAAAGGCAGGGGGCGGCGGCCCCCTGTTGGCTTGCCCCAGGGGTGCCCGGCGTGCTAGAACATTTCGATTTTGGTGTTGGTTCTTTTCCAAAAGAACTCCCCCCGGGGCTTCGGCCGAACCCGCCGGGGTCCAAGAAAGGCCCCGCAACCACCTCAACGTCCGCAACAAATTCTCCAAGACGGCTCAAGATGGCCTCTAAGATGGCCTCCAAGTCCGCCCAAGATGGTCCAAGATGGCTCCAAGACGGCCCGAGAGAGTCCAAGATGCCTTCAAGTTCGTCCATGAAGACTCCAAGACGGCCCAAGATGACTCCAAGAGATGGCCCAAGACTGCCCAAGAGGGCCCCAAGAGGCCTCCAAGACGTCCTCCAGGAGGGCCCGAAGAGGCCAACATCATTGATGGTCCTTCGGTTTTTACGGATTTGGGCATTTCTTCTTTTCAGCTCTCCGACGGCCCAAGAGGCCCCCAACATCGCCCCAAGAGCGCCCAAGAGGCCTCCAAGATGGCCCCATGACAGGCCAAGAGGGCCCCAAGAGGGCCCCAACAAGACCCCAAGACGGCCAAAGAAGCCCCCAAGACGCTCAAGATGGTCTCCAAGACGGCCAAGATGGCCTCCAAGATGCCTCTAAGACGGCCAAGAAAGCCTCCAAGACGGCGAAGATGGCCCCAAGATGCACCCAAGACGGCCTCAGATGGCCTCAAGATGGCCTTAGACTGCCCAAAAGGCCAGCATGAGGCCTCCAAGACGGTCCAAGACCCCTCCAAGAAGTCCTCGAGGAGGCCCGAAAGCTCGGAAACCTTCTGGTCCGATAGCTCGCCCGACTGCAAGCAGAGCCAAACATCTAGACAGAAACGTGGGCAGTCAGAGATGCACGTGTAGCACCTGGATGGCGAAGCGCCAGAGAGAAAAATCCGCCGCCACCCGCTTGGCGGGGGTGACAAGGCGTGTGAGACATGTGGCTGCCCCCTCCCTCGTTCCCTCTCCCCGAGTGCTCCCAGAGGACCGCCGAAGGGGCAACAAGAGGCAAAGATCTCAATCCCCATGAGAAAACGCAGAAGTGCAGCATACTCGCCTTGCTCGTCTTGACAGCGTCCAAGGCGGCCCGAGGGGTCCCCAGAATCGTCCCAGGACGGCCCAGAAGGCCCCCTGAGAAGGCTCTAAGAAGTTTCCAAAGGGCCCCACGACGGCCACAGGGGCTCCCAAGACCGCCCGAGAGAGCGACAACAAGGCCCTAAGTGGGGCCCAAGAGAGAACACGAAGTATCGTCTCGGGCCTTTTCCCAAGATGACTTCAAGAGACCCTCAGAGGCCCCAGTGGCGCCCCCAAGCGGCCCCAAGAAGCCTCCACGAGGATCCCAAGAAGCCCCTGAGAGGCTCTCAAGAAGCCCCGAAAAGCCTCCCAGGTGCCCAAAAGAGCCTCCCAAGAAGCCCAATATGGGGGTCGGAAGAGCAACACAAGCCACTTGAATAGGAGGGATGTGCGTCGAATACCGAAACTGCCTGGTGTGCATACACAAAGGAGTAGCACAAAGAGAAACATAAGCCGTGCGTACACAACACTACCGAGGCAAAGACGAGCACGGCCTCTGCACGTTGTTGGGCGCACCCGTTGCGGCGTAGACAGGCGAACTGTTGGCGGTGCCCTCTCGGGCCGAGTCCTTTGGGGAGGCACTCTCTGGGGGTATTGAGTTCTCATCTTTCCCGTCCTCCTCATCCCATCTCCCCTCCTTCTGTCCGGTTTACGTTGCTTGATGGGGTGGGACTCGAAACCTACTCCTACCCCTTCCCCATGCCCTATCCCTCACCTGCCATCCCCCCATCCTGCCTGCACCATCCTATTACACATGTCCCTCCACATCACGTCGTTTCCCCTTTCTTCTCCTCCCCTCCCCAGCCCCCACTCCGACCCAGTCCCTTCCCTCCCTCCTCCTATCCCCGTGTCCTCCTCTAGCCCTTGCTCCATCAAGTCTCATCGACCACAAACCCCCGTCGTCGTTCCCCCCAAGCTCCTCCTAAATCCCTCCAGCTTCCCCTCCCATCCCCTTAACCTCCCCATACCTGAAGCCCCCCCCCCCTCCCTCCCGCTCCCCCTCCATCCCGCCCTTTCCCCTTTCCTCGGGTACCTTCCTTGCCAACCCCTCCCGATCCTTCCCTACACCCACCCACGCTCCCCTCCCCCCGTCCCCATACCCTCCCATGTTCGCCTCCCCGCCAGGTCCTGCCACAAGGAGGACGCGATGGAGCCACGGAGGCTCATGGCGCCTGGCGGCCCCGCAAGCCCCTCCCAGGAACTCGCAAGGCAGAAAAAAACGCCAGACCTCGAGCCAAACAGCTGCAACCCAGCCACCGGGATCGTTCCTCCTCCTCCTCCTCCTCTTCCTCCTCCTTCTCCTCCTCATCCTCCTTCTCCTCCTGCTCCTCCTCCTCCTCCTCCTCCTCCTCCTCCTCCAGCTCCTTGTCCTCCTCTTCCTCCTCCTCCGTGTCCTACTCCTCCCCATTCCTCATATTCCTCCTCCTCCTCTTCCTCCTCCTCCTGCTCCTCCTCTTCATAATCCAAATCATGATAGTCATGATACGCATCACCATCACCATCACCATCACCATCAACATCATCATCTGCATCCCCAACAGCATCATCATCACCCCATCATCATCAAAACCATTAGCATCGCCATCGCCACCATTATCACCATCATCAGCATCAGCATCGTCAGCATCACCATCACCATAATCATCATAATCGTCATGATCAACAACATCATCATTAGCATTAACAGCATCACCTTCATCATCAGCAGCAGCATGATCATGATGATCATCACCTACATCAGCAGCAACAGCGCCAGCATCATCAACATCATCAGCAGCACCAGCATCACCATCACCAGCAGCAGCAGCATCAACAACAGCGCCAACACCAGCATCAGCATCATCACCACCACCATCAGCATCACCATCATCAGCAGCAGCTTCACCCGCAGCATCAGCATCGTAGTCTTCGTTCCGCATCCTCCTCATCCTCCCCGTCATCATCATCATCACCATCATCATGATGGGTGGAAATACTGCGAACATGTGGGACGCTTGCGAAACGCCAGGTACGATGCGATGACACGCTCCACTGGACTGACGAAGGATCGGTTTGCCCTCCTGTGGCTCATGATCCGCCACCGTGCTTCGAGGCACGATGTGGAGTGTTTCCAGAGTTTCTAGATCTCTCGGATATTCCGTGTTGTACTAGTGTGGTTAGGGGCAGGAAATCCAAAATCTCAAATTTCCTGGGCGCTCTCCCGCGTTCCCGGGCTCGACCGCGTAACTTTCCCAGATTCCAGAAGGCCCCAAGACGGGCCAAGTGGACCCCAAGACCCAAGAGGGCCCAAGAAGCCTCGAAATCGCCCCAAGATTGCTCCAAGACGCCTAAGATGGCCCCAAGATGACGCAAGAGGCCGCCAAGACGTCCCAGGAGGTCTCCAAGAAGACCCCCGAAAAGATCCCAGGAGGCCCGAATCATTGATGTTCCAAGGATTTTCGTATTCTCGCCTGTTCGGGCTTTCGACGCTCCGAAGGCGGCCCAAGAGGCCCCCAAGATCGCCCCAAGACGGCCCAAGAGGCCCCCAACAAACGCCCCCTGACGGTCCAAGACAGCCCCAAGACGGCCCAAAAGAGGCCCCCAAGAGCCCGTTTCTTTATTGTTTGGGGCATGACGGGCGTCATGGCCCCCACTCCCCCCCCCGCCCTATGACGTAACGCTCCCCCCCCAGTGCGCTCCGGGCACTGCCGCCGTGCATTTTGGGATCCGCGTAGGCGTCCGCGTAGCACTGCGCACGGGAATCTGGTCCGCAGTCGTCGTCGTCGTCGTCGTCGTCGTCGTCGTCGTCGTCGTCGTCGTCGTCGTCGTCGTCGTCGTCGTCGTCGTCGTCGTCGTCGTCTCGTCGGCTTGTCGCTCGTCGCTCATAGTCGTCGTGCGCGCGGACGCGACTGAAGCCTTTTTTTATTCGGGGCCGATGACGGCAATCATCTAGGGGGGGTGGAGGGGGTCGATGTCGTCACGTTTCGCGCCAGCGGCGTCTGGGAATGCCCAGGAATGACGGAGGACGGGTAGCGCCAGCATGTAGGTGGCGATTTGCACCACAACGCCTGTGTACACCACAGTGCCTGCGTGCACCACAACGCCTGTGTACACCACACCGCCTATGTACACCACAGCAGCCGCGTGCAACACAGCGTCAATTTGTGCTACCGTGCCTGCGAGCGTCCTGGCCCAAATTCGTGCTGCCGCCCTGTCGCGCAGCCTCTGTTTTTCTCCGTCGTGGCCACCTCCGAGAACCCTGGGGGGGGAGGTTGGCCGCTCACCGACGGCCGAGGCGACGCTTGCGTCTGTTTCAGTCTTCTGTGGCGGCCCTAGCGCTCTGACTGCGCGGCCGCTCCCAGCCAGTGCCTTATCCTCCTCCTCCTTACCCCCTGTCGTGTGGGTTGGCGCTACAGCGCACGTGCGCATTTCAGCGCGCACCGCAGAATGGTCTAATGAATCCGTCCACTTGCTTCTCGGACGGCCAATTTAGCTGGAGCCTCCTGGACGCAAATGGGAGGAGTCAGGGTGATGCGGGCGGACTCGCGAGGACTCGTAGAATCCAGCGGCGCTCAGTTGTCCCTAATGATTAGTTACTATTGTCTTCTGTGGAATCCACATGCGATCCTATTTGTCATACGGATTCGTTATAACATTCAATATACAACAGTGGTGTTGTGTTGCACACGGTTGCTGTGGTGCGCACAGGCGTTGTGGTGAACACAGGCACTGCAATGCACGCAGGCATTGTGGTGTACACTGGTGCTGTGTTGCGCACGGCTGATGTGGTGTTCGCAAGCGCTGTGTGCACAAGAGCTGTTGCCCAAACGGCCCCCCAAAACGGGGGGGCTCCGACCCCAAGGACCCAGCCGTGGGCCCCTGGAGGCCCAAGGCGCAACCAGACGGCCTCGGGGTCGTCCACTCGAAGGGGTCGCGGCTGTCGAATGACACGTCCATTCGGACGGCCCTCGTCAGCAGGGTGACGCCTCTCAAGAAATAATTTACGTTTGCGAGTCGCCCGCTCAGACATGAGGTCAACTCGAGGCGGGGGCGCGCAATCAATTAGTAGGTGGCCAGCTAAGCCTGTAGTAAAGAAACCACACCGTATGCATAAAACCACCTCCCCTGGGGACACCCAACACCTGTGCCCCCTAGCCGATTCAGGCGGGACGATGCCGCTGGTTGGCATGGGGGCTACAGGCACTGTGGTGGCGGACAGGGCGGGGCGGGGGTTGCGCGGGGCCACCTTCTGCCGCTTGGATGGCATGAAGGCGGGCCCGTCACTATCTCTTCCCTCGGCTCGCTGGGTCGCCCGCTCCTGCTGATCCTGGGCAGGCGAGCGGATCAACACCACAGGGTCAAAGGTCACACGTCTGCGGACACGGCGGCCATCACCCGACGAATCCGAACTAAACGACCGACGACCAGTCGCACGAGAAAGGTCCGACACGTCAACGTCAACGAAAGCAGGAGAGGCAGCAGCAGGTGTGCCACTGTCCCCTCCTGGAATCCCTCCCTCCTGATGCTGGGTACGCCCCTCGGCGGGAGGATCCACGATCAGTTCGCCTTCAGCCCGAGGGCTGGTGGGGAGCTGGCCATGCCCACTCCCCCCAGAGGCCACAGACACACGGGTACTCCCAGCATGCGAGGGCGGCGAGTCCAGGAGTTCGGACGCACCCTCGCCCATCCGCAGACGAGCAGAGTAGGAGAGAGAGGAGAGACGGTCGACTCTCTTGGGTGTCTTGGCCCCTGTCCTGCAGTAAACACACCTAAAAATCAGCCGATGTGGGACACGCTCCATGACATGCCGCAGGTGTGCTGGCACGTCGGTCTCAGGTTCGGGCTGGGTTGACTGTGCACGCCGTGAGGCGCGGCTCTTGCGGGGGAGGGTGGGAACCCTGCCCGCCTCATCAAAAACAGAAAACGCCTGAACCATCCACTGACGCCAGATGTTATAGTTACGGAAAGCCACTGCCATAGCCCTGCGTGAGGCGGAGGAAGCACAATGAAGATCGCGCCCACAAGTGGCAGCCGCGTCGGCCCATCGGTTACCTCGCGCTGTCTCGCTCCGCCCCCGCTGGTGCCCACGGCACAACTCGAATTCAACAACCTCCCCGAGGCCTCCAAGATCCACGATCTTGCCCCAGAGGGCCTCCCACAAATCACGATTGTTCCGTCTAGCCGCCAGGCACCATGTGGGCCCTTTGGCGACACGTACGCGCTCCTTCTACCTGTCCTATGCACGCAGGCATCGTGGTGTACACCAGCGCTGCGTTGCACGCGGATGCTGTGGTGTAGACACGCGCTGTGGCGTGCACAGGCGCTGCGGTGCACGCAGGCATTGTGGTGTACACAGGCGCTGTGTTGCACATGGTAGCTGCGGTGTGCACATGTACACTGGCGCTGTAGTGTACGCAAGCACTGTGGTGTACACAGGCGCTGCGTTGCACACGGTTGTTGCGGTGTACGCAGGCGCTGTGATATACACACGCGCGCTGTGGTGCACGCGAGCGTTGTGGTGTAAACAGGCGCAGTGGGGCATATTGCCACCTACATGCTGCTCGCGTCGTCGTCGTCGTCGTCGCTCGTCGCTCGTCGTTCGTCGCGTCGCGCGCGCGGGCGCGGCTGCGGTGCCAGAGCCACACGGCGGGGGGGGGGGGCGTTACGTCATACCCCCCCCTCGCCCCCGCCCACCCCGGGGAGCATGAACCGAACCTTCAAGCCCTTGGCACCACGATGGCCCCCGAGACCGCCAGCCGGTCCCCAACAGGCCCCCCACGAGCTCCAGGAGGCCCCCAGGAAGCTCCAAAATCAGGCCCCAAATGGCCCCCAAGAGACCCCCGAGAGGGCCCCAGGACACCCCAAGGCCGACTCCAAGAGGCTCCCCAGGGGCCTCCCAAGAGATCCCGTCAGGCATCCCAGAGGCCTCTGACCTGCAACCCACGCTCGGTGGCGGAATGGGCCGAAGGCCGCTAGACGTGACGATGCGGCGCCCTTCAAGGCGCACTGAGGATGCCACGAGGCAACATAATCAGCACTCGGATAGGAAGTCGACAACATAATTGATTGACTCTTCAAATACTTGTTTCGCCGACCCCTTTAAAACAAACACGTAGAATGTTCGCAAGTGTAAGCACAGTCTACGTGTTTGGTCGTAGATTCGGTGAACTAGCTGGGGCGAATCAGGATGCAGTCGACCTCCTACTCGAAGTATGAGGGAGTGCTATGTGGGAAAGAAGATAGAAAGGGTAAGTAGGTGCGGAGGCGAAAGGAGCAAGGAGCAGACGCGTGGAGAGAGGAGCGAGCACAAACCGAAACAGGAGAGAAAATGGAGCGAGAGAGCAAAGGGGCAGAACCAGGCAGGAACAGAAGCGGCAGCAGCAGCAGCTGGACGGAGAGAAGGGGCTGCAGCACAGCAACAAAGGCGGCTCTCGAAGCCTATTCCCATGGTACTTGATCGACTCCAGGGCGGGCCGCGCGATGTGCGCGCCGCCCTCCATGTCATCGTACTCCACCTCGCCAGGTTGCAGAGTAGGGAGGGGGAAGACAAGGTGTTTATGCTACTCTGATGATTCTGCATGCAACGTCAGTGATCCTGGTCATAACGACGACGGTGGGGGAGCTCACGAGGATGAGATGCCGGGGAGACAGGAAAGGAGAACGAGGAGTGCATACGACCATGTGCTCGCAGATCCTGTCCCTCTCACTTGGACTCATTCGCATGGTCGCTTTATTTTGCCAGTGGCTCAGACTGCTTGAGGATTCGAACGAAGCGCGGGCAAGCTAGGCTGGCTAGTGCGACACAGATCTGCTCAAGGGACCATTTAAACGAGGCATTGGGCTGGCGTGGGCCGAAAGAAGTGCCTTGAGCGAGAAGGCGACAGACATTAGCAATCATTCTCGTGCATCACTTACATGATCGCTTTATTTTGCTAGTGGCTCAGACTGCTTGAGGAGTCGAATGAAGCACGGGCAAGCTAGGCTGGCTAGTGCGACACAGATCTGCCATACTTCAACTTGAAATAAAATCCATCACTCAAGCATTGCGCTGGGGCTTAACCCCGCATTCGTTTCCATCTTTCGGTGGCCTGCTGTGCTATACACGATCTGTGCAGCGTGTCGGCCAGGAGTGCGCAATGGACGGGGGGATAGGCGTTTTTGAGACGGGTGAAAAAAAACACCCGCAGAAAGACAACCGGAGAGCTCCAGGTGGGGCTTGCCGGTAAAAGAGCAAATTCCTCTGCCTTTGCACACTAACTTATCAAGGCCACGGTGCGGGCTGCACATCCAGAACCTTATCCGAGTGCGAGCACGAAAGGGGCGACCACAAGCACAGTAATCGACAACTCTATCACAGACATCGGGAAGGTTAGCAAAGGAACGGCGGTCGGGCCGAAGCCACAGGAAACTTTGCCAAGGGTTCTCCTCGCCGCCAGGGATATTCAATCTATAGCAGAGACGCTGAATACGCTGTGAGACCCACCCCACCTTGTTAGAGACGCGGAGGCTCTCGAGGTCTTTACCCGTGAGGCCCGGGATCCCAAGAGGAAACGCGGGGCTCCGGAGAACCGAGGGCATGCTGCTGGACAGGGGGGCCCGACGGGCCCTCGAGTAGCCGTTGCAGGGCGCCCCCAGGAAAACGAGTTTGACTAAACAAGACGTCAGCCACCCTTGGAGGATCCCCCAGACCCCCGGGCGAGTCAAATCAAAATGGCTTCCGTGTTGGATGTCCCATTCTACCACAGCTTCGCCTCTCTGCCTCAGATGTTTGCTCGGGGCTCCACATCCTGAAAAGACTTCGACGCACACCCTTTTTTGATGGGGGGGGGCGCTCCGAAATGCAGCTCCAAGAACCTGTTGAAGACGCCCACGAAGTCCCTGCTTGCTGCTCGGAGGGTTTTGCGCAGCAGGTCGCTGAGCTCGCGTAGTTCCAGCAGCAGGCGTCCGTGCTTCTCGTAGCGCAGCACGGACTTGAACGCCTTCCACCCTCCTCGCTGCAGCACGGTGCCTGAGTCTCTGTCGCCCGTGCTCCGGTCGTGGCTGGCCCCTCCATGCTGGAGGGGGCAAGGGGTGGCCTTGCGTAAGCACACGCTCCGAGCAAGGGTCGTGTTCTGGAAGTCCTTCACCCGTTGGTTGTAGCCCAAGACCAGGAAGGCGTGGACGGGTTCCCGAAGGGCTCGCACAAGGAAGATCGGGTTCACCACCAACTGTTGCCTGGGCAGGTCGAGCCGAACTGAAAGGTCGTACTCGCGGGTCTTGGTTGGCATCTCGTACACTGAGGCCCGCACCGCGACCGTCAAGAAGATCGGTACACCTCCTTCCCTTGGCAGCGGCAGGACCACCTGCCTTGCTCGCAAATCCAGCACTCTTGACGGGCGCATGTAGGTCACGAACCCGGCGAGAACGGCCAAGCCACAGAGTGGCTTCCCCGCCCGGCACCGCCCGCAGGCCACCGCCAGCACCACCAAGAACGGGACGGGCGGTCTGGGTTTGGACGGGCCCAGGACGTTCCAGCCCTTCAGCGCCTGGCGCGCCAGGGGGGGGACCTCGCGGATCCCGCCCTGGCGGGGGGCGGGCAACGCCCAGCGAAGCGCCGGGCCCAGCCGCTGAGAAGCCGCCTTGAGGACCCCGCGGTCGTAGATCGACTTGGCGCACTCTCCCAGCGTCTCGCCCCACGTGAGGTGCGCCCAGTCCAGGAGGAAGGCCATGTTCAGCCAGCATACCAAGCCGAGGATCATTCCGAGGTAGGGCACCTGCGTGCGAGTCCTGCACTTGGCCGAAGCACGCCGGGTCTGGCGCGGGCGCAGCTGGCGCCTCTTCTGGATGAAGTCGCTCTCCGAGCGACTGAGGCCAAGCTTTGCGTGCCGCCCAGCCAAGTCTGGCCTGCTCTCGGGCTCGCCCAGCACCGACAACGCGGCCTGCCTCGGCCTGCCCCGGCATCGGTTGCCCGGGTGGCAAGGCAAGCGGCTCCTGCGCTCGCTCGGCGCGCGAGGGCCGGAGCAGTAGCTCGCCAAGGCCATCGGCGCGGGCGGCACCGCCTGGAGCATCGCCACCTCCACGCACGCCCCCGGGGCCCCGAGGCTGGAAGCGGCGGGGCGGGCCGTCGCTCGGGTTCCACTCTGAGGGGAGCCACCTCACCTGAACCTTCAGGTCTGCGGCGACCCCCACAGCGAAGAGGACGCGACAGACTCCCAGGAGACGATGATTGGCCGCACGGCCTTTGGCGGCAGCGAGGGCGAGAGACATGTTATCGCCAAGAAAGAGTCGGCGCGAACAGCGCCCCCGTGAGTCCCTGGCCGCCCGGCGAACGGCCCATGTCAGAGCGGCCCCCTCAAGCCCGTGGATGGCCTCCTTGCGCTTCCAGCGGCCGCAGCCTACTACGCGCCAGGGCCGGGCATGCATCTTGCCGAAGTCGACCTCCGGGAAGCCTGCCGAGCGCCCGGCCAGCAAGAGGGCGGGCTCTGGCGCCCGCGCTATCTCCTGCTCCAGCGTCCTCTCGCGGGGGGCGCCCTCGGCAGCGAGCACGCCGCGGAACCGCGCGCGCTCGGAGACCCTGCCGACGCGCTGCGCATCCTTCAGGCCCCACTCGGTCTCCACGATCCCGTAGCCCCAAGGAGATGCGTCGAAGCAAGTGACCACCTCGCTCCACGGGCGTCGAGCGTCGGCCCGAAGGCAAGGCAGTAGTGCCTTGACCCAGCCCATTTCACGGACCACGCTCTTCCAGAGCGGCTGCTTCTTGGAGTAGGACGCCTGCGCGAACTCATATGAGGAGTGCAGCATGGCCAGCCCCTCCCGGCGCAGCATCAGGATGGAGACCAGGTGGCCGATCAAACGCTCGAGCTCTTGGCCAGAGACCTTGGCCCGCCCCGTGGGAACATGCTCCAGGGCGCCGTGGGCCCGCCAGAGCCTGCGACCCAGCACGTGCCAGCAGCCCGTCTGCAGGTCGAGCTCGCATCCCAGCAGCTCGCCGCGCTCGGCCGGAGCAGGGTCTAGCTCGGAGACCGCGCCCTTGGCCGCGAGCGCCGCCTGCATGTCAGCGACGGCGGTGGCGGCACGGGAGGGCGACTGGGACAGCACGGCAAAGTGGTCTATGCACAGGACCTTGACATCCTCAGTGTTCAAGTCAATGCCAGGGCACTTGTCCAAGCACCATGGCTGAGATGGCAAAACTGACTTGACCAGGTGAAGGTGTGCTTCTTGAATAAAGTGCACCGCCCAGCTCCAGCCCATGGGCGCCACCTTGAATCGAAAGCGTACCTGGCCGCTCTTCAACGACAATCCGCAGGCGCTCCGAACCTCCGGCGGCAGGAAGCGACTCTCGATCAGCGGGAGGTTGAAGTAGCGCCTGCACCAGGGCGGCAATGCACATTGATAGAAACAGCAGTCGACGTCTCCAGAACTCATGCCGATCATATTGACTCCCGACGCCTCCAGCGAGGACAAAGCCTCACCCGTCGCGACTGCCGTGTGTTCTGGCGTGGTAAAGTGCATGTTAGGCGTCCTGGTGTCGCAGATGAGACGCAACCGCTTGTCCTTGCGAGCCGCAAAAAACATGCCAGCTTCCTCCAAAACCGGCTCCGAGCTGGCCTCGATCACCCCGGAGGTGTAGAGCTCCCCCAGAGCGTGGCCGTAGTCGTAGCCGAGCCGCCCAAGCTTCGGGCCCATGGCACGAGGAGCACCTGCATCACGAATTAGCGTTGCTGCCTCCTCTGGGGATCGCAACAGCCCGCGCCCAGTCTCCAGCTTGTTCTGCAGGTCAGTCGGGAGGACCTCCGTAAGAGCCACCTTACCCGCACCGATCTTGGGGAGAGAGATGTTTCCCCGCTGGTAGACTGTTCGAGAACCGGAGGCCTCGACTTCAGAGTAGCCAGGCCTGAGACCCTGTAGCGTCGCCCACGCTTCATGGGGACTAGGGCGATCAACGGGCGGCGACCACTTGCCGTAGGTCGTGGCCAACCGCCTCACTGCAGCACGTTGGGCCGCCGTGAGCGGGGCGGAGGCGGGCACGTGGCGCCCCTGCCCGCCCAGCTCGTTGAGGGAGGCGATGCCGTTGAGAAGCCACTGATCCTGCCGCCTCCTGGTCGCAGCTCTCCTCCGCGCTGTGAGTGAAGTGCCCCATGCAGCCCCACCGCTCAGCATCGACATCAGCTCCGGACCAATTGGGATAGGAAGTAGGTCTCGATGACGCCCTCCGCCGCCGTCGTCACAAAACATAGTGCCGTATGACCAGCACCTCCCCTTGAGAATAGTCGACCGCTCGGGGGCAGGCGGGCGACCAAGCCACTTCAATGTAGGGATGGGGCTAGGCAGCCCCGTCAGCACAAGCCAAGGCCTTTGCTTTTGACTTCGGCCTGTCTGTGCTGTTCTCGTCCACGCTACCTCGAGCAAGACTCTTTTCTTCACGTCCTTTGCGGCGCCCTTTGAGTACTGCTGCTCCCTCCTGAAGGCGGGCTGCCACCCCGCTGCGCAGTGCAGTACGACCCACAACTCCTTCAAGCCCACGCTCTTGTCCCAAGAGGCTCTTGCGCTCGTCGAGCAAAGCCGACCCCCAGCACTGCGAAGTATGCCCGCCTTGTGTCCTCGAAGTCTGTTAGCATACTGCTGCACCACCCACAAGGTAGTCCGCGGCCTGCAGCCAGGGGAGTCCAGCTGCGAGTTGGAGGTCGTGGTGTCCCCTGACCCGGCGAAGACTCTGACCCTGTTGCCGCCGCCACCACACTTGACGAGGAGGGTTCGACGAGTCTGCTCTGCAGCTTGGCGGTCCTGCCAGGCGGTGGGCGTGCCCTTGTAGGTATCGGCCTTCGCGACTGCCAGCTTGAACCCTTCGGCAGGCTCGCAGATGCCCCCATCCCCGGCAATGGCGCCGGGCACGGTGCCTGCTTGAAGCCCGTCACTTGGTCGGTAGCCAGCGCAAGCCTCCAAGACAACCCAGCGAGGAACATCACCTGCGTCAGCGCGATCCTCCAGACCACCATCGGGTGCAGGCGGAGGCGCGGGCGCCCCTTGTGGCTCCTCGGGGAGGCCCTCCTGTTGGCAGATCTCGCTAGCGAGGTGCTTGCCCTCGATGAGCAGCCTCCCTTCGTGCCTCTTGAAGAGGACGATGTCTGTGCTGAGGATGTGGCCCGACAGCTTCGTGGACAAGCCTCCAGTGGGGCCGACCTGACAGAGGTACAGGGCGTCTGCAGTATCTTCCTCGCATATGTCACTGCGTGGAGTGACCACCACCCGATTGGCCGCAGTGATCCTGCTGACCAAACTGTATTCATGCCAGTAGTTGTCCTCTTGCTCGTAGTGCCCGAGGACCCGTACGCCCACCCGCAGGTTCTCCAGGGCCTTCGCCGTCCGCGATGCTGCCATGGACCACCGACTGGGTCTCTCCGCGGGCACGTCGTCGTCCTGTCAAGCCGAAGACCTTGCGAAGCACTGCGCCCCGACCAGGCCGAGCGCGAGCGAGAGGGCCCCCCCAGGCCGGGTGTGCCTGGGCTCGGGGCAGGGCGGCGTGTATGACGGATGCCCGTGCAGGTGCTCCTGTCCGCGCCTGCCAGGCTGCCCCTTCAACAGCCCGATGAACGCCTCCTTGGGCGCGGCGTCGAGGAACCAGCTGCAGTCGCACCCGCTGCTGCTGCTTGGATCCAGGTGCCCAGCGCCTGGCCACCGACTGCCGCGACCCGATGAGCTCCCGCCCTGCAGAGGGCTGTGGCCGTTCGGAGAATGATATCCCGAAATAAGTGCCTTGAGCGAGAAGGCGACAGGCAAGCTCTCGTGCATCACTGACATGGATGTCCCCGTGGACCCTCCCACTTCTTCCTGGATTTCCTTCGAACCCTCCTCATCGTCCTCCTCCCACCCTGCCGACTTCACCAAAGACGGTCAAGGAGCCCGACCTGAAGGCGGACATGGTACTGGGACGGAAAACGCGCCACTCCCACCAACCCCCTTCTTCCCCTTCAGGGAGGGGTTTACCCCTCCCCCCCAACCCCTTCCCCTGGACCTGGACGGTGCTGGTCGCGAGGTGTTAGGGCGTCCACACGGCCTCGGCGAGGAAGCCAAAATCATTGGTTTTAGCAAGTTTTTGGCCACATGTTGGCCTGTTAGGGGGGCAGCATTAATTGGGGAACCCCCTTCTTTGATCGATGTCCTCGAAGAAGGCCCCAAGAAGCGCCCGGGAAGCCCCAAGATGGCCCCAAGATGGCCCAAAGATGGCCCCAAGCTAGCCCCAAGAGGCCCCCAAGAGGCACCCAGGAGGCCCCCAAGAGGACCCCAAGCGGCCCCAAGAGGCCCCCCCGAGGCACCCATCAGGACCGCCAAGAGACACCCAAGACGTCCCAAGAGGCCTGCGAGAAGCGCCCATGAGATATCCCAAGAGGCTCCGAGAAGCAACCAAGAGACCTCTGGCCTTTTGCGTGCTCTCCTCCTCCTCCTGCTCCTCCGTCCTCCTATTCCTGCTCTTCCTCCTCCTCCTACTCCACCTCCTCCTCCTCCCCATCATCATCATCATCATCATCATCATCATCATCATCATCATCATCATCATCATCATCATCATCATCATCCTAATCATCATCATCATCATCACCTGGTGATGATCACCAGCATCATCACCATCCTCAGCATCATCATCACCATCATCATCATCACCATCATCACCATATACAGATTCATACTTCTTCACCCCACTCGCTCATCCATCCATCCATCCATCCATCCAGCCTCCTCCTTCTCCTCCTCCCTCCTTCGCACGGTTCGGCCGTCCCCCTCTTTGCTCCCGCAATCCCTGATTACCTAAACTCGCCTGGACAGCGTTTCTGGATGGACTAGTGGGGATATTTTCTGATCGCGACCGCGGCGAAAAGGTCGGGTGGCGTCCAGGAACGATGCACACGGGCAACGGCCCAAATTCGCGCACAGGAAGAAGGAGGGACGAAAAACTAGTGGGGATATTTTTTGGTCGCGATCGCAAGCGAAGGCACAGGCGGCGTCAGAAGTCAGCCCGGGCTACGACCGAAACCTAACTACCCAGCGCGCGCACTAACGGCTGCCGGACTGCCGCCGAGGGACGCCGGGCGATGCCGGGCGGCTGAACGCAGGGCTGCAAAAGCTGCCAGGTGTGCCAGGCGGCTGAAGAGCAACCACTCCAGGGGCAAGACCACCAGGAGGGTAAGCGAAGTGTACCTTGTCGCGCCAGGCGCCAGAGGTAGACGTGCCACGGAGCAGAGCACGGCATGGCGCGGGGCTGAGCAAGCAGTCCAACATACCTATGTCGCATGCCAACAGTGGATTAGTGGGGATACTTCTGATCGCCCGCGAAAACGGTACGACTGCGCGCCGAAAGTGTCTAGTGGGGATATTTTTTTGTTTTCAGCCGCAGGCGGAAGCGCCAGCGGCGGGCGGTCACGGTCGGGCTGCGGCCGCGACTAGGGAGCGGGCGCGCGCGAGGCCGCGGTCAGGCGGCAGGCAGCAGCGACCCAGGGCGTCTTAGCCAAGGCGTGCAATCCAGGGAGTCTGCATCTAGTGGGGATACGCGAAGCGTCTAGAATTCCTGAGAGGCAGACCTCGCTATCCGAATCTCCGAGACCCTCTGGGAGTAGGCGACTTATATGCGAGGTCCTCTGGGCTCACATTCGGAGAGGTGGCTGTCTCTGAACACTCTCTGTTAAAACCCACTCACCCATTCAACTGGCCGTCGGCGAACTCCTGTCAAAAAAATGCGACGTGCATGCACGTTACGGCAAACACTGGACCATGCGCACTGATTTTCGTCCAGGATGGTGGGGGAAGAATATTATCCACCGTGCGCAGCCGACCATCGTTGTCGAAAGCCTGTGCCAAAAACAGGTGCGGGTACATATACCAAACGCCATGCTGGTCACCCCGACATCACTTGGCGCTGGTCGACGAGGGTGCATGGGGGTCTCGGCATACTGCCCGATGTGTGCCGTCGCGTGCGCTCGCGTACCTTGCGCGCTCTTCGCGCGTCTGTAGCACGTGGCACACCCGGTGCACGTGGCGCACTGGCGCCGTGCTAGTGTTGCTGTTAGTGCTGACACTGGCGGTTGTGCTGATGAGACTTGTGGTGCCGTTCTCGCTGGAGCTCGTTGAGCTATAGCACCTGCCTGGGAGACACTGACGCTGCTGTGCGTCGCTGTGCTGCTTCCTGTGGTACCCGTGGCCGTGGATTGTGTGTTGCTCTTGCTGCTGCTGGGCACCCGTGGCACCTCGCAGACGCGCGGCGCGCCTCGCCGGCGTGGCGCGCGTCCTGTGCGCGCTGGATCTCCGAGCGGCTGTTTGAATCGGCCGGCGACCGCTGCCGGCGCTGAGTCCCCGATGCTGCACGCGCGGTGGGAAAGGGGGCGGGCGAGGGGGGGAAGTGAGAAGGGGCGGGCGTTCTCAGAAGGCTCGGAAGTCGCCCAATCTTCTGAGAAGTGTTTCAAGCCTTCCCCGAAAACACAGGAAACTTCTCAGGAGGTCGGAAGGCTTCTGAGAAGTCCCGCCGCCTTCTGAGAAGGCCTTCTCCTTCTCGCTTCCCCCCTTCGCTCGCCGCCGAGGTTGGAATGGCGGCGGGCGCGAGCGAGAAGCCTGGCGGAAGTCCTGCTGGAAACTCGACCCCTCCCCCTACCCCTGCCCTGGGCCCGGAAGGCGCCTCCCCCCCCCCCCCCCGAGCGGTGTCAGAGAATCAGCCCTGGCCCATGCTGATTCCGAATTGATCGCGGGTAGCCGAAGACGGCTCCAAAACCGGGCAGGATGTCTCATTTCATAGAAGATGGACTCTAAAATGCTTCCCCCATACCTCTCAAGACTGCCACCAGAAGGCCCGGGTCGGCAATGGAGCATCCCAAGAATCTCCCCACGAGGACGACTAGTTCAAAGCATGAGGTGTTCAGTGATGCTTGCCTTCTCGCCTTCTCGTGGCCAAACAAAAAATGGTTCAAGCGGAAACCAAGAGCGTATGGCCTCCACGATAGCAAGAAGAGTGCCCCAAGAGAGGCCCAAGAAAGCCTCAAGGTGGCTCCATGAGCACTCAAATAGGCCCCCAGAGGTCCCCAAGTTGGTCATTGCTGGATACACAGCGTACCCACAAAGAGGCCCCCAAGAATCCCCAGGAGAGGGCCCAACATGAAAGAATGGTCACAGTAACTCCCCGACATCCTACCCGCTCTCATCCACCCCAGTGCCTCCCTGCCCCTCCTGGACATCACATCGTTGTTCGTCGCCCCGCGCAGCCCAAATAGGGGTCGCCCCGTACACAGTTAAGGAGCAAAAGGGGGGCGTTGGATATTGGACGACGAGGAAGGGAGGTGTGGCATGAGCAGGAAGAAGAGCAGGAGGACGAGGAAGGGGGATCGGCCGCAGCTGCAGGAGGAGTAGGTGTAGCAGGGAGATGAGGAAGACCAGGGAATCGGCGGTGGACAAACCTCCCTTGAGTAAACCACGCTTTGGTGAAAACGGCCTAGGACCGAAACCGACGGACCTGGACCCGCAAAGGTAACGGCCGTGACGCCCTCTCGCGAACCGAAACCGGCCAATCCACGAATCGACGTGTCAGGGTAGGAGGTCACTCGACCTCCGAGGGAAGGCGGAGGGGGGCAAGAGGAGGGGGCGACGACGACTGGGAACCCATCGGCTCCAGCAATACGTCGGGCCCGTGGCGGCCCACGGCCCGCGCCCCGCCGCGAGAGTGCAGACCCGAGCGGCGGGGGCACGGCGCCGACCCCGCAGCGCGCCCCATCCGACCTCGTAGCAGGCATGCGCGCATGGCACGTCGTGAGGGCCCCCCCGCGCGCTGCGCGACGACCAGGGGTACCAGCGCGGCGGTCGCCAAGCGGCTCGCGCGGAGGCGCCCCCATCGCTTCCCCAGGGTACTGCCTCCCTTGCCCCGCCGCCTGCATGTCGAAAGCGCGGCTGGGCTCTGCGACGGGGGAGTCTCGACCGCCTCGGCCCGGGCGAAGGTGCGTTGCCTCCTCCTCCTCCTCCTCCTCCTCATCTTCCTCCTCCTCCTCCTCTTCCTCCTCCTCCTCCGTCTCCTCCTCCGCCTCCCCAACCGCCGCCTCCGCCTCCGCCTCCACCACGCAGTTTACATCACCTAGATGGCACCAGCGGTTTTGACAGCCTGGCTTTCACCACATCGCACTCGCAGCATGCATTACACCACACAACAGGCACCACGCAATTGATTCACAACGTAGGTTAGGCCAACTGGGTTGTGTCACATGGGTTGCACCACCGCGTTTGCACCGCATGCCTTTCACGTGGGAGCCTCTACCACACGGCGATCACACATGGACATGGCTTGCATCACAGAGTTTGCACATTCTGGGGACAGCAACTCACAGATTGGACCAACAATGCAGAATATGATAATTACACAGCACGCGCCCATGGGATTCAACACATTTGCCTGAAATTGCACGTCATCCCGCACGCGATGCTTTGAATTTCCATGTTTTCCTGCCCAATGCCTGAATGCACACAGTGTGCTGCTGCATTGCAATCAACAAGCGCACGAAATCTACGAGCTCACCGCGAGTTCATACATCAAATTCGATGAGGTCTACATGATACAAATCCACCGACCCTGTCGGCGTGAGGAACACGTGTTCTGCTTGACTCGATATCGTCGGCGTCGTCGTCGTCGTCGCCGTCCTTGTCGTCGTCGCCGTCGCGTTTAACTCTCCTTTCCCTGGGCCTCCCCCTTTCACCGGGCTCTCCATCATCATCATCATCATCATCATCATCATCATCATCATCAGCATCATCCTCAGCATCATCATCATCCTCAGCATCACCACGACCACCATCATATCAGCAACATCATCACAACAACCATCATCATCATCATCAGCAGCAGCATCATCATCATCCACAGCATCATCATCATCAGCAGCATCATCAGCATCATCATCATCACCATCACCATCATCATCATCACCATCATCATCATCATCATCATCATCGTGGTCGTCATCACCATCAGAATCAGTATCAGCACCATCATCATCATCATCACCACCATCACCACCACCACCACCACCACTATCAGCAGCAGCATCCTTATCATGATCAGCATCATCCTCACCAACACTATCATCATCATCATCATCATCATGAGCATTATCATCATCATCATCCGCATCTGCATCAGCATCAGCATCACCATCATCATGATCATGAACATAATCATAAGCATCATCATCACCGTCATCATCAGCAGCATCATTACCATCAACATCGCCATCATCACCATAACCATCACCACCACCACCACCACCATCATCATCATCCTCATCATCATCATCAACATCATCATCATCATCCTTCTCATCATCATCAGCAGCATCACCATCATCATCATCATCATCACCACGACCACCATCATCAGCATCATCATCACAACAGCCATCATCATCATCATCATCAGCAGCATCATCAGCATCATCATACATATCACCAACAACATCATGATCATGGTCATCATCATCATCGTGTGGCAGCAGAAGAAGAAGGCAGATGTTTATCCCTTGAGCCACAGGGCGAATCACGGTCAGAACTAGACTCGCCCTCTAAGTGCTGAACCTATATTTAACGAATGTGCCCATCTATCACACTCGTCAAACTTTCTCCTAGGTTCAGCATCTCTGGTTGTCAGAGACCCTTCCCTGGGACAAGAACACAAAATCGCACAGCTCAGCGATACGGGAAACCCCCCCGATCTCGCTCTGAGGCAAGGCAGAAACTACTGAAAAGACTGAGAGGAAAGAGAAGCGCCGGCTGGCCCGGAGGTGCAGGAGGAGGAGGAGAGGGGAGAGGAGGAAGGACCGACCACCACACCACCACCACCACCGGAGTCCGGGTCCAGGGCCAGGAACTCATTCCAGGAGATCATGCTGTCGTTGCCTAACTCTCGCCTGGATGCAGCCTGCGAGCGGTCCTTGAGGCCAGGGGTGGACCTCCTCCGCTCTAGCTCCGAACATTCATCGACTAAGATCAACCTACCATGGGTCATGAGCTCCGAGAGGGCGGCATTACTCTTGGTTATGTCGTCCTTGGTGAGGGCGTCCACTGGCATACGGCCGTGGGGCACCCATCTTACCTTGCCTTTTGCCCTTTCCAGTGCTTCACAAATAATAGCCAGATCCAAAGCCGTTCTTCTATCTTTTGCACTGGCGTTGCCTTCTTTTTGCATAGTGTCGTATATTGATTTGGCATCGACCACATGGATTTGATCTTCACGTGAGCCTAGCTGACAGTCCCGGCGCAGCACGGTGGTAAACGGACCAGCGGCCCGTCTGCACTCTGGAACGTCGACGTCTCCGAAAACCACGTCTCTGTAAAGCACCTGAAGGAATTCTACTTCGGCAACTGCGGCAGACAGAGCCTGGGTCTCGCCCGCGAGGGTCGAGGGCACTTTCCTCCGCAGCTTGCTGCTGCGCCATCCGATGATGGAGGCCTTGACAGCGCGGTTATCCAGAACAGAACGGTCGGTGGTCAGGACCATCCACGCGCCCTGTGTCGGATCGTCTGGAAGCCCCCGGTCATCGTCCTGGTTGATATTGGCGCCCACGCCTCCTGCATCGGAGAACGATACGAACGCCATCTGTTCGGGGCTCAGCCTCCAGATTGTCAGACCACGAGACGCTGACGCACGCAAGTGACGAACCAACTTGTTGGCACACTGGACGTCGTAAATGGTCGGGGATTTCAACCTGCTAGCTAAACCTTTGGCAACCGACAAGGGCCTCACTTCCTCTAAGATGTACTTTTCCTGGTCCACGATTATCTTCTGGGGTCCGAAAGACAGCCGCCGGCCGGCGAAGTCTACGGGGCCGGCGTGACAGTCACGGTATTTTCCGAACTTGAAGCGGGACTCCAGAGTCCGTCTGATCCAAGACCTGACCTCCGGAGGGGCGCTGGCGATCATGAAATCGTCAACCTCAAGCAACATCATGTTCATAATATCTCCGTTCTCGCCATACTTGATCCACCAGCACGGCTCAAGCAGGCTTCTCACGAAGCCATGCTGCTCAAGAAACCCCACGACTGTCCGTCGCCACGCCATAGGGGCGTCGTCCAGACCGTAGACGTTGACCTTAAGCCGAATGAGCGAGCCTGGCTCTACGTTGATGCCCTCGCAGGGCTCAACATAGATCTCACCTTGTGTCCGACACATGGGGTCAGACTGACAGAATGTATTTTTCACGTCTGCGATATCACCCAGCATTCCGAGGTTAACCATGATCTGAAGGAACATCATGATGGAGGTGGTCTGTGGCGTCGGTGCGTAGACAGCCAGTGCCCCAGAATCTGGATCACGGTGGCCATGCACGCACCACCGAGACTTTGCTTCCGGCTGCGCAAAGGTACCCTCCACCGGCTTCCACCTCCTGACCATGCGCGAGGTTATGATCCTCTCGGGCTGCTGCTCTCGCACCACGCTCGCCTTCTTGGGCGGAATTACTTCCACGGCTCCGGAGCCTTCCATCGCCTTCCACTCCTTGTCGTCCGAAATGGCAAACTTGGCCCGTTCGGCCGGGCTGAGCTTCTTAAGGGACACCTCCCCGCCACGGCTCGCCGCGAAAACGCCTCCGTCTTGAAAGCTCTCATCGAGTCGCTCAGCACGGACCGGAGGAGCCCAGGCCCCACCGTCGGATCCCGGGACCACCCAGAAACTCTCGACGGGTCCGTGGCTGAAAAGTGACCTGGACCGAGGGCGGCCTCGAGTCTCAAGGTCTCGAACGGCCTCTGCCACGGACCTCGATCGCTCTACTCCGACTCTGAGACTCCTGGCCTGGCCAGGATCGCCCGGACCACCTGGAGGAGAGGAAGAGGAGGAGAGGCCTGGAGGAGGATCGACCACACCACCACCGGAAGGGGAGGAGGTGACCCCCGGGTCCGCAGGCGCAGCCTCGGGAGGCTCGGCCCCCCTGCGTCCGCTGGCACCCGGCGTCTCCGTCCGTGCCCGCTTGACCTCGGGCGGTGAGCTAGCGGCCCTGGCCGCGCGGATGCACGCGGGCACGTCCTCCGGTTGCCGCAGCCGCCGACCCGTCGCTGTCGGAGGAAGAGACGGAGGAGGGGGAGGAAGAGGAAGAGGAGGAGACGAGGAAGGACCCGCGGGAGGAGTCGGAGGAAGGGAAGGAGACGGGGAGACGCGAGTGGAGGAGGGCGCCCCCCCGGGACCGCCGTCCGAGGCGCTCGGGCCCTTGCCCTGAAGGCTCCTGATGCGCGGTAAGGCGGAGGCCCGCCAAGAATTCCAAAAAATCAAAACCAAAATTGTTTCGTGACACATCCCTAAAACATCAAAAACCAATAATTCAAAAACATATGATTGCTGATTTCTAATTGTTGCGATGGCCTTGTAAAGGGCAAATCAACATCATGTCCGCTTTGCAATTACTGCGATGGGAGATTTCCGCCCACCACAGCATCATCGCCAACATCATTTACATCGCCATCACTGTTCCGCACTCGACACCCGCGGGTTGCTGAGGGGGCGGTAACTTATGCATAACTTATGCATGAGTGTCGCGGCATCGCGGCGTCGCGGCGTCAGCCGCGGTGAGCCCTGGAGGCCTCCCTAGATCGGCGCACGCCTCACGCGGAGCGTGGCGGGGTCAGGCGGATGGGGCCGAAGGCCTCCGAATGTAATTGAACCCCATGGGGGCCCTGGGAGGCCCCCGAAAACCGCACAGGTTTCGCCGCGCCCCTCGCGCGGATCGCGGGGTCCGGCGGACTGGCCGAAGGCCAAAGAACATCGTCGCTGCCTAGATCGGCGCACGCCTCACGCGGAGCGTGGCGGGGTCAGGCGGACGGGGCCGAAGGCCTCCGAATGTAATTGAACCCCATGGGGACCCTGGGAGGCCCCCGAAAACCGCACAGGTTTCGCCGCACCTCTCGCGCGGATTGCGGGGTCCGGCGGACTGGCCGAAGGCCAAAGAA